CTCGTCCTACTGTGACTTAATTATTGAGCTGGGGGAGTGAGAAGGGCTCTATCTGCAGATGAGAGGGGAGGGTCCCAAACCACTGTTCCTCTCAGGTGTGTCCTACGGCCTTCCTGGATCTCTTGGTCAGCACAGGGGAGAGTGCCCACTTCCCGCCTCTACATGTCCCGGAACCTCACTCCCATTCAGAGATGCACCCCTGCCACCTGCCACACCCCCACCCATTCACTGATAATTACTAGGTCATTGGTACACTCGAAACTTCTGGAGCAAAAACTCCTGTGTTTATTTCTGGAACCATCAAACTTCCTTTTCATGCCCTTCTTCCTTGGAAGTTATTTATGTAAAGCTCTTGATTTTTAAAAAATGTATTTCATTGATTATGCTATTACAGTTGTCCCATTTTCTTTCCCCTTTATTCCCCTCTACCACTCCTTCCACCAGCATTCTCCTGCCCTTAGTTCATGTCCATGGGTCATGCATATAAGTTCTTTGGCTTCTGCATTTCCTATACTATTCTCAAACTTCCCCTGTATATTTTCTATCTACCATTTATGCTTCTTATTCCCTCTACCTTTTCCCCCATTCTCCCTCCTCCTCCCTGCTGATAACCCTCCATGTGATGATCTCCATTTCTGTGCTTCTATTCCTGTTCTAGTTGTTTACTTAGTTCATTTTGTTTTTTGATTTTTGTTTTTTAGGTTCAATTGTTGATAGTTGTGAGTTTGTTGTCATTTTACTGTTTATATTTTTTATCTTCTTTTTCTTCGATAAATCCCTTTAATATTTTATGTAATAAGGGCTTGGTGATGATGAACTCCTTTAACTTTACCTTGTCTGGGAAGCACTATATCTGCCCTTCCGTTCTAAATGATAGCTTTGCTGAATAATCTCGGATATAGGTCCTTGCCTTTCATTACTTCAAATACTTCTTTCCAGCCCATACTTGCCTACAAGGTTTCTTTTGAGAAATCAGCAGATAGTCTTATGGAACTCCTTTGTAGGTAACTCTTTTTTTCTTCCTGCTTTTAAGATTCCCTCCTTATCTTTAATCTTGGGTAACGTAATTATGTTGTGCTTTGTTGTGTGCTTCCTTGGGTCCAACATCTTTGGGACTCTCTGAGCTTCCTGGACTTCCTAGAAGTCTATTTCCTTTGCCAGACTGGGGAAGTTCCCCTTCATTATTTCTCCTTCAAATAACTTTTCAATTTCTTGGTCTTCCTCTTCTCCTGGCTCCCCTATGATTTGGATGTTGGAATGTTTAAAGTTGTCCCAGAGGTTCCTAAGCCTCTCCTTGTATTTTTGAGTTCGCGTTTCTTCATTCTGTTCTGGTTGAATGTTTATTTCTTTCTTCTGCTCCAAATTGTTGATTTGAGTTCCAATTTCCTTCCCTTCACAGTTGGTTCCCAGTATATTTTGCTTTATTTCACTTTGATCTTCACTTTTTCCTCTATTTTGCAACCATACTCAACCATTTCTATGAGCATCCTGATTACCACTGTCTTGAACTTTGTGCTTGTTAAGTTGGCTATCTCTTCATCACTTAGTTTATTTTTGGAGCTTTGATCTCTTCTTTCATTTGGATCATATTTTTTGTCTTAGCACACCTGTTACGTAGTAAGGGGAGGAGACTTAGGTATTTGCCAGGGTGCAATAACCCATGTCTCTGTGTTGTGATACTGTCTGTGGGGAAGGGGTCTGAGAGGGAACAATGGCTGCTTGCTTGGCTCTCAGCCAGCTTTCAGTCACTTCCTCCTGTACCCACAAACAAATCGGGCCCTTCCGGTGCTGATTCCTGGGTGGGTGTGTTTGTATACATTCTAAGGACCTTGTGGGTCTCTCTGAGGAACTCTCCTGTGGGGCTGGAAGTTTCTTCTGCTGCTGCAACCCTCACAAGTTTTTACAGCCAGAGGTTTTGAGGGTTTCTTTTCCCTGGCTTGTGTGGTCTGTCTTGTTCCCCAGTTGTTCCTCCCGGTTTATCTGCACATGAATGTGGGACCGCCTGCTCCACCAGCCACCACTTTACCTCCAGTCCGCTCTGCCTTGACTGCCCATCTCCACCCCTTCTACCAGTCTGGATAAATGTTTCTTCTTGAACTTCTTGGTTGTTGAACTTCCATACAGTTTGATGTTTTGTCAGTTATGGTTGTTTTTTGTTTTTGAATTTGTTGTTGTCCTTCTTTTGGTTGTATGAGGAGGCAAAGTGTATCTTCTTACACCTCCGTCTTGGCCAGAAATGATTTTTTTTTAAGGCAACACAGGTTTGGGTGCTACTTGGAGGATGCTTGCTGCATTACTCTCGAGGTCTGCGTGAGACTAGTGGTAGTTAGATAAAAGCTGCCTGCTTTCTGGAATTGAGTACATTTGCATGTGAATTACAGTCATTCTCTGAAAATGTTCATATAACCTTAGGGATTTAGTCAGGAAGGCCGTGGGAGTGCTAGATGTCCTCCAGTCGATATGCCCCCTTCCTCTCTAGTGTTTTAGTTGGGCGTGTAGCTGCCCAGAATAATTCTTGCGCTTTTCAGTTACTCCTGCAACTAGGTATGGCCAACTGGTTAAGTGCTGGCCGATGGGATGTTAATGGGAGCAAAGTATGCAACTTCTGTGATGTATCTTTAAAGAGAGGGAGCACCCTGGCTATACGGCTCAGTTGGTTGGAGCGTCATTCCGTGCACTGGCATCCCATGCCAGTCTCATTCCTGAACAGGGCACATACCTGGGTTGCAGGTTTGATACCTGCAGCCAGGCACATATAATCCAGGAACATATAACCCCCAGTCTGGGTGTGTACAGGAGGCAACCAATTGATGCTTCTCTCTCTTATCAATACTTCTCTCTCTCTTCCCCTTTGTCTCCCCCTCCCTTCTTTTCTCTCTAAAAAGCAATGAAAAAATATCCTTGAGTGAGAATAAAAATAATAATAATAAAGAGAGGGGGCAAGTCCTTCCTTTCCCCCTTCCCCCACCCTGCTGGTTGGAATTTGGTGTGCCGGCCACAGTTTGAGGAGTCCTCCTGGACTGTGGGGTACAGACTACTTGCCCTGAACCCTCCATTCTGGCCCTAAATGCCTACACTTATTTGAGAGAGAAATAAATTTCTTACTGCGGTGGGCAGAATAACACCCCACCCCCATAAAAAGATGTGCACATCCTAACTCCTAGAAACCGTGAACATGGTACCTGACACAGGGGCTTTGCAGGTGTGATCAAGTTAAGGGTCTTGAGAAGGGAAGATGATCCCAGACTGTCCTGGTGGGAACAGGAAATCAAGGGGCTCCTGTAAGAGGGAGGGAGGCAGGAATGTGGCGGTAGAAGCAGCAACGGCTGGAGTGATGCGCCTTGGAAATGGAGAGAAGAGCCGCACACTGAGGAAGGCGCCTGGACAGGGCAGGAAGCAGCGTCTCCGCTGGGTCCTCCAGCAGGGCTCAGCTTTGTAAGACCTTGACGCTTGCTTCCAGGAGCCTCGTTCCAGACGTCTGACCTCTGCCGCTGTGAGAGAATGAACCTGTGTTGTTTCAAGCCACTAAGTTTGTGGTGATTTGTGACAGTGACAATAGGAAGCTAAAATACCTGTGAAAGTGACTGTTATTTTGTGATTTCTGACACTGGCAGCCGGCTCCACGCCTAACTAGTACAGAATTCAGTATCTAGAAGTGGGAAAACGTCTGACACAGAACCCGAACAGCCTTAGCAGTCACACGGCAGGAACTCAGATTTGCAGCCAGGAAGAATGACATTAGTGCATGGCCATGGGACCTGTGGTGGCATGTGCCCCACGTTACTTCAGCAGGCGTAGCTGCGCCTCAGGAAAAAATGGTTGTAAAAGTGCAGGATTTGGGACACTTTCAGCTGCTTCCTGCCACTTCCTACAAAGTCTGAGACAGAAGGGAGTGCAGGGAGAAGCCAGCAGTCTGTAAACAGAGTGGGGAATGTGGCTCTGACAAGGAAGCCCTCTCTGCCTGCAGCCGAAGGTGTCACTGGACTGATAAACTGGTCGTTTGTGGTCTGGCACGGTTAGAGAATCCGCTGCTCTCTGACCCCCAGCAAAGGCAAGTCTGGACAGACGGCATTACTGACATCGGAAAGTTTTACAAAAGGCTTCATATTTCAGTGTCTCTGCCAGACAGTCCAGAGGCAAACATCCATGTGAGGGTGTTACCTTCCCAGCTGAGCCCTGCATTTCGTAAGGTGTGAAGGTAGCGGCCATTACACTGCGGAGAAGTGGGTGGGGGAGCACAGAGACCCAGCAGCAAAAAAACAAAAACAAAAACAAAAACAAAAACAAAAAACAGTCTAGGCAAGGATCCGAGCTCTGGTTCTTGAAAATGGAATAGGATTGCCAAATAAAACACAGGATGCCCAGTTAAATTTGAATTGTAGAGAAACAACACATTATTTTTCAGGATAAGTATGTCTCAGCTATTTTAATACTCGTGTTACTCATCATTTATCTGGAGTTCAGGTTTAACTGGGAATCCAGTGCTTTTGTTTTTCAATTTCCTAAATCTGGCGACCCTAAAATGAACAAACGTTTCAGAAGGCTGCTCAGTTTGTGAGGGCAATGATTATACTGTTCAAGAAGCCACACACCGGCCTGCTCGGGCAGGCGAGCGCACCATCCTCAAAGCCGCTCCTGGGCTCCCACAGCCGTTCAGGTCCCCAGACGGGCACATCTCTAACCCTCACTTCGGACGTGGCTGTCAAAGATGAGGGACAAGGTGGCCTTTGTGCAGGGCAGTGAGAGAGAGATAAAGAGCAAGAGACTGTTCCAGAGTCGCAGGTATTCAGGTGGGCTGACTGAGAAATTCACTGTGTTGCCACGGCAGGGGCCCCACCCTTCTTCCCCGTAGGAGTTGGTCCCTGCTGCAGGCCAAGGACGGCTGGCTCCCTCCCATGAGCCTTCTTTTCCAAAGGGGGGCGGGGTTGTTTTAACTGTTCGCCTGCTGTGCCGTGGTCTTGTGCTCATTTTGAAGCAGATGCCTTTTCTCTTAGTTCAGGGGTTTCCAGACCATGAGAGGCCTGTCTGGACCGATGACGTGCTCTGAACGCCGCCCAAGATGCCGGTTTCTGAGCTGGAGGATATGTCTGCATGGGACCTTGAAGGAGTTGCTCTTGGGAGAGGTATGCCTGTACGCAGGAGGAAGAAAGGTGGGTGGGTGCCTGGGCGGCCAAAAGGGCGGGTTTGCTCTGGGGAGAGGGTGCTTGCTGCTCTCTTACTCTGCTGTAGCAGCATGTCTTTTATTGCAGTTCGCTGGGATGGCATGAGCCCCTGATGTTTGTTCAGACACCGGCATCTTCGTTTTCGGGGCAGGCAGATAAGTCCTGGAGCACACGGGGCCTCTGGCCACCAGCAGCCTTGTCCTCGTGCTCCGCTGTGTTGTTGTCAGGAAACAGGTGGGGTGCTGGGGAGGTAGGCTGAGCACAGTCTCCAGAAAACCACTCTCATTTCTCAGACCAAGTACAAGTTTGGGGGATTCCCCAACCCCCTCCGTTTCAGTAATTTGCCAGAAAGTCTCGCAGGATTCACTAAGGATTGTGGCTTCCCGGGTTATTATTTACTACAGCAAAAGAATACATATTACAATCAGCCGAGGGAAGGATGGCATCCAGTGGAGCCCAGGAAAGTATCCAACGTGAAGCCTCCGTTGTCCCCTCCCTGAGGCTCAGGGACAGCATTACACTCTCTCCTCCCAGCCCAGCTTGGAGTCCAGGGTTTTACTGGGGCTCCATCACATCACAGTGCTCACTTCCCATGTGGCTGATTCAGTCATGAGCCCCTCTCGAAGCTGGACTAGTACCACATGACCCAAAGCCCCCACATAGATCGCCCTGAATCACAGAGACTCTCCACTGTCCCAGCCCCCAGTCTAAACAAAGACATGCCTGTCGAGCGCTGCAACTTATCTGAAGCCGAAGGCAAAGTCCAGACTTGTCCTTGGGCAAGATTAAATTCCACACCACACAAACGCGTCCATCTACCATGAGAGAACCCCAATTTTTAACTGAGCACAAAGCACTTAGAATCAAGAACCCCAACCTCCCACATGTATTGTTGCGACCACGTGACTAAATTCTAGGCCCTGGGAGGTAGAGGAGATGGTATTTGCCACTTCTGGGACGTGTCGTCAGATGGAAGGGGCTTGGTCCCCTTCTTTCTTCTTGCTGTCTAGGTGGGGCTTGAGGAGCGGCCTCAGCCTGTGAGGTGAAGTGTCACACTCAAGGTGGTGAGGAGTGAGGTAGCAGGAGCCTGGGCGTCTGTTGATTGAGGCATGCATCGTACGGCTGTTCAGAGAAAACGTTTAAATTATGTTTAAGCCACTATGACTTTGGATTTTCTGTCCTTTGTGGCAAGATCTAATTTCAGCATTTGCTTGAAACTTACCTTTATGTGGCTTTCATGCAGATTCGCACACTCTTTGCTCCCGAGCACCGGATTGCACCTCTCACCCAGCTCACCCGTGCGCCCTCGGACCCTCCCTGGCCATTGCCTCTCCGCGGTAACTCTTGCCTGGCCGGAGCACTGGCCCCTGTCCCAGGGCTTTACACGTCCAGGCCTTTGCTGTCCGCCTTCAGCCGAGGCGTGACGACAGGAAGGGCCGTTTTCTGATCACATGATCATCGTGCTTTCCATGGCTCGCTGGTGGGAGGTTTGACGGAACTTCATACCGTAGCTTTGTATGTAAGCCTTCAGGTCAGTTTTCCCGATTTACCTCTTTAAAATTGACAAAGAGATATTTGTTCAATCAGAATGAAGATTTATAGATCTTTCTAAGACCTGATGTTTGAATTTTATCAAAATATACCAGGATTCCTTGTGCATAATTGCTTTATGCCAGACAGAAAGCAGGATAAACACTTAATCTTTTATTTTATGTTCTTGATGTTTTATCATTTTTTTTCATAAAAACTTGACCACAGCTTTTGTAAATACCTAAGAAATTAATTCTTAAAACCTAAAGGATGAGCAAATGCTACTTTCTGCCTTATGAAGTGGGGGGATTTTATCCTTCCTTCACTTGGCAGCATGGGGCATTGGGACATCGTGTGACCTCTGTCCCCGTCTTCCTGGTTTATCAGTGCCGAAATGGGAAGCTGGAAGGGAGTGGAAGAGCAGACACTAAAACTCAGAAGTCTTATTTCTGATTTGCCTACCTTAATGATTTGATTTCTCATTGTTCTGGTAGGATACCTAGATATTAAATATATACATTTATATGTATGTATGTTAAAAATGTGAATGTTAGCTTTTGTTTTACTGCACAGTCAATTCAATGTTTAAAACTGCAATATGTATCAATCACGTGTTTCTTACTTTGCAAACCCATGGAAAGAAAAGATGTGTAACACCTGAAGAATGGAAAAGTCATAAAAGCTTAGGAGTGTAACCTAATAGTAATTACTAGACAAGCGTTGGCCAGGGATTTGTGTTCTCAGTGAAAAAGTCCTCATGGAATTTTCTCACTGAAAGCAACCTAACAACTTAATTGACATGAGGGTCTTCTGTTTCCAAATGGAGTCACCGGGCCTGGAAAAGCAAAGTGATGCTAAATGTCGCCCTACGAATTAGCAGGAAAGCCAGAATCAGCACCCATGTAGTTCTGGCTCCTGAGCCAGGCTCTTTCGGAGCATCTCGTGCGCCCTCTGTGTCGGGCACAGAAGTTTCGTATCATCAAGCTTAAATAAGCTCATAAGATGCAGACGTGGTTCAGTGCTCGTTCAGAAAACACATGCTCTCCTGATTGGAAAGAAACTTGTATTCTGGTGAAGCAAGGGATTTCTATCCCCAAAATAATGTCAGAATGATTTTTCTGTCAAACCAACCCAAAGAAAGAACATGGAGGTCTCCAAAATTCATCAGCAGAGGCAAAGAATCACACCCAGTTTATGCTGCCTCCTAGGCTGTGCATTCCTTGAGGAAAAGAATTACTCAGCTCTGTGTCTCCACCTAGCATGCAGTTGGTGCCGACATTTCTTCTTAATGAATGAGGCATAGAAATCATTGTTTTATACCGTGGCATTGGGCCCTTTTCAAAGAAGCACTTAAAAAACACGTGTGAAATTTCCTGTGCTGTCAGAAATATTGTTTAATCATATTGTTAAAAATAAAGAACTCCAGGGCTGACTGAATTAAATTCTCCAGACCACTACATGCTCTTTCCTCTTTGGGCCACTCAGCTGTGCAGCCAGAAACGGATGGTGGGGGAGGAGCTGGGGCCCATCTGCAAAGACCCCGGAATGCTGGCTATGTTGGAGAGTGTTTGGAGGGTGCCCCGGAAGCTGAGGGAGTATTTCCAAAGCAATATACGTACAGAGATATTTGAACCAGAGAATACGTACTCCAAAACAGACGCATGGAGCACCTTCCGAGAAGAGCTAGTTTTCACCAGGTGTAGGTGCTCCAGCTCAGTCCCGTGAACCCAAGAATGAAGGTAATTGAAAACGTGTGCACCACAGGCATGCCTGTAGTAGGTCACATCTTTGCACGTTGATCTTATGGTAAAATACACATAAAATTGTGATTAGACATGTTATAAGTGTTAATACCTAGTCAGTGACACAGCATCTTAAAAAAAACCTTCATAAATAATAATATCTTTTAAAAAACATGTGCATTGTTTTTTTTTTTCACTGAAAAATAGGTATCAGTAGTTGAAACTGAAGGACATGAGCTGAATGTTAACCCAGCACTAAGAAAATGACCCGTTCATCTTGTCCCCCAGCACAAGCACACTCAGTGGGGAAGATGGGCAGGTTTCCTCTCAGCTGCCTGCACAGAGACAGCGAGAACTTGTCTAGGTTTGGAGTCCTAGTCGTAGGAAAGTTGCAACTATCCAGTGGGAAAACATTTTATTTCAGAGAGTTATGAAAGCATACCAAGACAGTAAAAGGATCCACCCAGTAGATTACTACTCAGCAAGAAAAAAAGACCGAACTACTGATCTACACGATGCCTGGGTGGACCTCAGGAACATTTTACTATGAGAAAGTAGCCAGACACAAAGACTGCAAAGTGAATGATCCTATTTATAGGAATTTCTAGAAAAGGCAAAACTATAGAGATCAGTGGTTGCCTGGGGCTGCCAGTGGGAGCAGGGGCTGACTGCAGATGGACAAAGGAAGCTTTTGGGTGAATGGAAGTGATGGGAAATGGGACTCATTCATAATGTTTACATAAATATGTAAGTTCACCAAAACTCACACCATTGCAGTGTGTGAGTTTATAGTATTGAGGTATATAAATTACACCTCAATAAAGCTGGGGTTTTTTTCAGGCTCAAGTATCCCTATCTTTATTTATTTATTTTATTTTTTAATTCTAGTTTTCAGTTCCAGTTTACATTCAATATTATTTTGTGTTAGTTTCAGGGGTATAGCATACTGTTAGACAATCATACACTTTACAAAGTTCTCCCTGGTATTTCCAGCACCCACACATAGTTACTACAATATTATCGACTGTATTCCCTGTACTTTGCACATCCCCAACTATTCTGTAACTGCCAGTTTGTACTTCTCAATCCCTTTACATTTTTCACCCAGCCTCCCATTCCCCGCTCCTCTGGCAACTGTCAGTCGTCGTATGTATGAGCCTGTTTCTATTTTGTTTGTTCATTTATTTTGCTCTTTAGAGTCCACACGTAAGTGAAATCATATGGTATTTGTCTTTCTCTGCCTGTTTCACTTAGCATAATGCCTTCTAGGTCATAGATGGCAAACACAAGGCCCGTGGGCCAAATCCAGCCTCCACCTGGTTTTATCCACCCAGCAGTTTGTTTCTACCCAGCAGCAGCCCGAGCTCTCACTTAACAGTTAAGGAGTAGTTACATTTACACAGTCCTAAAATTATGTTCGGTCCTTTGAAGGCAACCGCGAGGCTGATGTGGCCCCTGGTGAAAATGAGTTTGACACCCTGCTCTAGGTCCATCCGTGCTGTTGCAAATAGTAAGATTTCATTTTTTTTTTAAATAACCAAGTAATCTTCCATTGTATGTATATACCACAGCCTTTTTATCTACTCGTCTGTTGACGGGTACTTGGGTTGCCTTCATGTCTTAGCTGTTGTAAATAACGTTGCAATGAACATAGGTGTGCATATATTCTTTAAAATTAGTGTTTTGGGG